GTAGCACAAGTTGTGCACTCGTATTTTTCCCTTACTTCATAATTGATACGACTCTCTAGGAAAAATTCGAAATTGCACTGAGGGAAAAACTTGTTCGTATTCGTAACTGTAATTATAACATTGTATAATTATGATTATGATTACTGTTATATAATATTAATAATAATAACTATACGTATAGTTCGATCGATCAATTGAAAATCACCTATCATTGTTATAACCATGAAAATGGTGTTGAAATTATCATAAAAAATTCAAATAATTAGCCGGGCTCTCTGCGTTTTACCTGGCGTTTGGAATCGTTTCGCTCGTGGGATCATTTCATTCTTATTTATCGAACGTTAAACAATGACGAATGGCGTTTTGCGAGCGTTTCCACGAGTGCCAAGTGGAACGCATCGGTCGAAAAATTCTCTTTTCTTAAAATGATTTTACAAAATAGCCATATATCTTTTCTTCGTAATATTTTTGCGAGAGTTCGACCTTGCGGCAATACCGTAATAGAATTTTCCGTTTCGATCGCGTACACGAGTATATATCGCCGTAGCAAACGAGGCGATCGACCGGAGCGGCAATATAATTTAACGGAGAGGAAGAAGTCACGGCGCTCTCTCTCTCTCTCTCTCTCTCTCTCTCTCTCTCTCTCTCTCTCTCCCTCCCTCCCTCTCCCTCCCTGCTATGCCGCGTCACGAGCCGCACGTGTGCGCGCACTCGGTTGGGGATGCTGGCCCTCCTGGACCGTACGGTGAACGCAGAGACGAAGGGAGGAACAAGGAGAAAGAGAGAGCGTGCGTACGCGGGTGTACCGCGACAAGAGAAGGTAGAGAGAGAGAGAGAGAGAGAGAGAGAGAGAGAGAGATGCAGAAAGCGCGAGAAGAGAAAGAGAAAGGGTAGGGGGAGGAGAGGAGGGGCGGATGACTCGCAGCAGCCGGCCGTGCCGTCAGCTGCCGACAGATTTATCGAATGGCACGTGCCGATCCGGAGCAATGTCGTTTTGTACTTTTCTACTCTCGACTGAGAGCAGTGCCTCGCCGAGAGGGCAAAAAGTCCCGCAGGATGGCCGGGCCTCCTTCTCCACCCGCTCGTAAACCGCGATCGGTTAGCTCGCCGTCGCGTCGGTCGGTCGGTGCAATCCCGGTGTTCTTCCGCTTTAAACATTCCTCGATGATTCTCGCGGGGTTCCTAGAGCTCAGTAGGGAGAAAAGAGCGAGCGAGAGAGAGAGAGAGAGAGAGAGAGAGAGAGAGAATTATGAAGCTGCCATTAGCGCTACGTGGACGTGACGCATTTCGTGCGTGCGGTTATTTTTGGTAGCGGCGTACACGCTCGCCGACGGTTCTAATTAACGTTAGGGACTATGGCAATACGGATGTTTAGCTGAAATGTCAAGGTAATAAAGATTCGGTATCAAGTTTGATTGGTATAATTATATAAAGAAGCATCTCTCCCCTCGGAGAAATTTCGAGAAGTTCGCGATCGCAATTTCGATGGGATCGAATTTCAACACTGTCGACGCACATAAATAATTTCGCCATTTTATAACGGGGAAAATCCGATAATCCGTGCGGATTGCTTATCCCGAGTTTGATATATAAACGAAAATACAACGTCGGTTTATTATAATTAAATTAATAATATGTATTATAGTTATATTCTATAACTAACCGTCACGCACACATAATTTAGATCTCGAACGCGATTAGTTTCCCTTGTCTTTTGGTAAAAATTCGATGAGAACGTTTCATCATAATAAATCCAGAATGATATTTCGTTCCCGACCGTTTCGTTTTTTCTCGAAACTCTAAAATTCTCCCACGCCGGAACGAATATCGTGCCACGTTGGCAAATTTCATTTTAGGAATAGACGCAAACCTCGGAATCGGGACTTCTCCGATCCCGATCACGTAAATTCGTTAGAACAAAGGAACGTGTAAACCATTATGTATTCAAAGGAACCATTATGTTTCAACTGGAAACCGCGTTACGCTAACCGGGTTTAGCCGCGCCAAGTTTTTATCGTCGTTACAGACTCCAGATATACGAGTATTATCGATTCCTGATAATTGGCGGCACGAACTTTCGAAGTCGCGCGTCCTCGCATGCGAATTAATATTTCCACGGACCAATGACGTTCGCTGATAACCAGTCAGGAGGAGCGCAGGGAGGTGCCGTGGAACGGAATGGAGCAGGACCGCGAGGGGTGGATGAAAGGGAGAGGGGGGGGGAGAGTGAAGGAGGGGGGAGGACGCACGAGAAAGATTTTCGCCGATGGAAGAGAGCGTATTAAGAGTGACTTAAATTAATAACGCTCGCTATTTCGGAGTCGCTTCCAGGCACCGCTAACCCGATTAGTAGCCGAATGCAGCAGCAGCAGCAGCAGCAGCAG